TTGTTAATGTCTTCCTCCAATCCTGATGCCACGTTTTTCTTCATATAACCCAGCTTCTCAGGTTATTTGCTCAGCATACAGGTTGAATAAGTATAGTGAAAGAATACAACTCTGTTGCACACCTTGCTTGCTGAAAGTGAAGAGGACTTACAGCATTTACTGATGAAGATCAAAGGCCACAGCCTTCTGTATGGATTACATCTCAATGTAAAGAAAGCAAAAATCCTCACCACAGGACCAATAAACAACATTCTTATCAACGGAGAGAAGATTGAAGTTGTCAAGGACTTCATTCTTTTTGGATCAACTATCAACTCTCATGGAAACAACAGTCAAGAAATCAAATGACGTATTGCATTAGGCAAATCTGCTGCAAAGACTTTTTTTAAAGTATTGAAAAGCAAAGATGTCAGCTTGAGGACTAATGTGCGCCTGACCCAAGCGATGGTATTTTCAAAAACCTCATATGTATGTGAAAGCCGGACAGTGAATAAGGAAGACCTTAGAAGAATTGACGCATTTGAGTTACGGTTTTGGAAGAGAATATTGAAAGTGCCACGGGCTGCCAAAAGAACAAACAGATCCGTGTTGGAAGAAGTGCAGCCAGAGTGCTCATTGGAGGCCAGAATGGCCAAACTTTGTCTCTCATACTTTGGACATATTGTCAGGAGGGACAAGTCACTGGAGAAGAATATCATGTAGGGTGGAGGGTCAGAGAAAAAGAGGAAGACCCCCAACGAGATGGATTGGCCAGGTGGCAGCATCGATGGACTCAAACGTGGCAACAATAGGGAGGGCCCAGGATCAGGCAGTGTTTCGTTCTGCTGTGCATAGGGTCGCTATGAGTCGGTACTGACTCTATGGCACCTAACAACGACAACAGGAAAAAATTTATTTATGCAGAGTGGAGTAAGCTGAACTAGTAGTATGACAGCTAATTTTGATCACAAGCATAATGTACATGCTTAGTCTTTTTAAAATCTATACATAGCCTAAAAATTCTACTAGATGCATAAATGTTAGTTAGGTGCCATAGAGTCATTTCCAACTCATAGTGATGCTATGCGCAAAAGAACAAAACACTGTCTTGTCCTGCATCATACAACTGTTGTTATGTTTGAGTTCAATGTTCCTGTCACTGTGTGAATCCATCCTGTTGAAAGTCTCCCTCTATTTACTTTACCAAGCATGATGTTTTACTCCAGGGACTGTTGTTGTTGTTAAGTGCCGTGGAGT